AAGATGTCCATGTCTTTCTTTCCTCAGTCGAAAGAAATGTAGGTTTTTGATGAAAACATTCCAGGATTTTTTCTCCTTATAATGGACTTCAATGGGAACCGGATGGTTCAAGGTCCAAAAGACTGTTAATAACTGTTTCAGATGCAGCTTCAAATGTCTTTAAACGATATCAGACGATGAATAAGGGTCTTATCATGCGAAACGATCGGTTATTTCAAAGCTTATTCCAAAAATGTAACTTTTCTTAGGACAAATGCTAGCCTAGCTCTATTCTGTGAGGCGCGTTTGTAACGTCGCGTAATACGTAATTACGTTCAAAAGATCACGGGCGACGTAGCCGGAAGTACAGAATCAAAATCGTCCGACATCGTTGTTTTACCTTTTAATTCCTTTTTTGTAAACGGCGTTTGAGTTAGTTTTCACGTTCAACCTATGCGTTCAACTTGTAAACACTCTGACTCTGTACTTCTGGCTACGTCGCCCGTGACCTTTTGAACGTAATTACGTACTACGTGACGTTGCAAACGCGCCTCACAGAATGGAGAAAGGCTAGCATTTGTCCTTAGAAAAGTTACATTTTTGGAATAAGCATTGAAATAACCGATCGTTTCGCATGATAAGACCCTTATTCATCGTCTGGTGTCGTTTAAAGACATTTGAAGCTGCATCTGAAACTGTTATTAACACTATCTTTTGGACCTGAACCATCCGGTTCCCATTGAAGTCCATTATATGGAGAAAAATCCTGGAATGTTTTCATCAAAAACCTAAATTTCTTTTCGACTGAGGAAAGAAAGACATGGACATCTTGGATGACATGGGGGTGAGTAAATTATCAGCAAAAGTTTTTTCAAAAGTGAACTAATCCTTTAAAGTGGTATGGGGTGCGTTTGCATCTGGGTTTTCCCCGAGTACATGAGCACATTATTGGACCGACACCCGAGTACTGGTATCGGTGAATCCCTAAGTAAAAGTATAGCATCTGCCATGTGATTGATGCTCAATGTCACTAGCAGAGCAGAAATACATAATCATCCATCACTTGGTCCCTTCAAAGTCACGTTGGATTTCCTCCTTAACATAAAGGTTGACAAGTGTCTGGACTTCTGCGTCGGTCTATCTATCGGAGTAAATATGAAGAGTTCAGATGCAAAAGCCTCTAAATACCATTTGAAATTTTCTTCTTTAATGATGATTTTTATCAAACTTGTATATTTAAGTTCAGTAATTTCACTTAAATAACAATTAATAGGTAATTATCATTGCCATTAAAGTGAAATTACTGAACTTAAATATACAAGCTTGATAAAAATGATCATTCTAGAAGAAAATTTCAAATGGCACTTAGAGGCTTTTCCATCTGAACTCTTCATATATAGGCTATAAACTCTTGAGAAGCTCACTGAGAAGCTTCAGCCACGTGGGTGAGATTAATCTCCCGAGTGCGGTCACTGTGTTTGCACAGCTTTTTAACAATTATCGCATGCGTTCAGGCAATTGACATACAATTACGTCACCGGTAGTTCCAATTGTGCTGGGTTAGACACTACTCTGAAGTAGAAGCTAATTTTGTCCCCACAAAAGGCGTTCCTAGAACTGAAATCATTCCCAGTTCCAGTGATAATACTGTACACCCAAAGAACTTTACAATCATATCATGGGATCTTTACTCAACCACTACCAGTGTGCAGCATCCACATGTACTGATGATTGTTCACAAAATGGTCCCAATTTTGATATCGGGTTGACTTAAAGAATGAGGAAAAGGTGAGAAACATTGAAAGAACCCAGTTTGATTCAGGTACCTTCTTCTGGTAGATTGCGATCCAGTCGGTGGTTTGCAAACCATTTGTGGCCCTTGATGTCGTTGACGCCGTTCTTGAGGTTCCCGAAGCGCTTCGTGAGGTCTACCTGCAGCAGGTTCCTCAGCAGGTCCTTCAGGTCAGAGCTAAAATGCGAGGGGAATCGGACCTACAGGGAGATCGTGACACACCGTCAGTGCTTGGGATTCATGATGCATTGACTTGCGAAACACCAGAAAGTCTCATCACGATTGATACAAATGATGATTAATAAACGAGAAAAAAAGCAACATTTCAGTTTATCTGTCAAATCCTAATGAACTGACAGCGACTGAATACTTAAATTTAGAGCGCAGCATCTCACACTCAAATCATAAAACCAATGGAAACTGACAAAAAACCTAGACGACACAGTTCAAGCAGTCAAATCGATTAATTGAAACTGACAGAAGTTCGTACAAACAGACAGATAGACACGAGATTTGTGTACGTTTTAGATTCTGTTATGGCTTTTCTTTTCAGTTACGTGTTCTGTAAGGGTTGACCTGCCCTTTTCTTTGAAATCAAGTTCATTATGTTTTTTATCAGTTTTGGATAATTAGCTGGATTTTGATTTGGAAACTTCGAGGGAAGTTAGTTTGATATTTTGTTTATTTTCTGTTTTTTTTATTTATTTTGGGCCTTGGGTGTTCCCAAGGCCCAAAACACACTGTATGTATATGTATATGTATATATATATATATATATATATACTGTATATACACATACACACACACACGTTTTTATACATGCGTCACAAATATAATTATACAAACAAACGTATTTTACATGCGATTAATCGATTTGACACAACTAATACAGAGTTCTTTTTATTTAATTTTTTTCATTAATTTTAAATAAAAGTTTTTTTTTTAAATATTACTAAGGTTTAATTTATTTTTATTTCAGCTTTAGTTTTTATTTTCATTTAGTAATTTTAAAACTTATTTCAGTAGTTGCCTAATTTTAGTTGTTTTTTCCACTAGTATTTAGATTTCATTTTAGCTTTATTTCAACCATTTTTAAGATGTTTTACTTAACCTTGGTCTTCGTTACCAATTATTTCAGAATTATTTATATAATATTGTAGTATTTATTAATACTATTTTTAATATTATAGCTTTTATTTTTATATTTTCAGATTTCATTTCAGTTTCAGTAAATTTACCTACTTGCTTTGACCATTTTTATTAGGTTTTTTTTTTCAATTTAGCTTTAATTTATTTTTATTTCAGTTTTACTTTGTCATTTCAGCACGTGAACTTAAACGGAAATTAGATATGTTGCCTTGGCAAACATCTGAAATAATTTAAAAAAACAAAAACGTGACAGAAAATACAATCCATATACCTTCTTCTCTAAGGTGAATATATCCGTTTAACAAAAAGTTATCACGTTCATATCTGTCAGCAGTCATTCTGACTGTCATCAGACAAACAGATGTACAGTCCAGAGATATAAATCCCAGGTAAGAAAGTACATGGACACGTTTTGGGGATTTCTAGGAGTTTTGCTCATTATCATTTAAAGAGACATGCACCGAAACGGGTTGCTGTGAACAGAGCTGTTTGAGGAGGTAAAAAGGGTGTTGTTTTACACAACCCTTTAGGAATTTTAAAAGTATTTAACAAACTTTACATTAAGATCCTAAAGAATCGTACGAACTTGGGCATCCGATGACCCAAAGACTTTAAATAATCCATACAAT